CTTCAGAATACCTGGACTAAATTGGATCCCACAATCACAGATTTTAGTCATCAAATGACCAATATCCAGAAATAAAATTTTATAAAATGTTTTGTCTTCACTAAGATTTTATAACCTTAAACGAGTTCCAGAAACAAGAAGCTAGGAAAAGCAATAAAATACCTGCAAGAATGGTATAGGCTGAGAAATTCCAAGTTTGCGCAAAGCTTCATAAGTAATAAAAGAATTCTGCATTATAGACAATGAAGAATCCAGTTTTAAAAGTTAACTCTCCTTGAAGGAATGGTGCAACTGACAATAAAATGTGGTCATCTTATTTAGTCAAGTCATCATACAGTAACTCTTCTTACCACCTCCCTCCCCCCCCAATAATTGATAATGAGATAACGACTGCTGACTAGAATAAGGTGTCAACTAGGACATATTTAGAATGCTTCTCAGATACCCACTGAAGATAACATGTGAATTATCTCCAGTGAAAATCATAAAAAAAAGTCTTAACAAATAAAACCCACCTATGGAAAATAAAAAACATATAATACATTATCATCGAGCTCACTCATGAGGACAAAACCTCAGTTGAGACATATTAAGAGTTTTGCTCACCCGCTGAAGATAAAATGTTAATTATCCCCAGAGAAAATCATTAAAAGATGAAACTCTTAATAAATACATTCTACCAGTGGAAGATAAAGGGCATACAACACATTATCAATCGAGAAAAGTAAGAGATCTAAAGGATTAATTCGATGACAAACTTAATTCGTGCTGAATGATGCAGAAAATTTGAATCTTAGCAATAGGGTTTAATCCTTCCAACTTTTACTTTTTCCCCCCTCACTTGGAATTTATTATTTGGAATAGCAAGCCAGTGCTAAGTTATGACATACAGTGATGCCAACAATCCGAACACTGCCATCAAACTTTCAATAACACCGAAGTTAATTTTGCAACTCTGTATTTCGTGGCTTTAGAAGACTAAAAATAAACCCCTTAAATCTACAAAGGTAGAAATTAGAACTAAAAAACCTAAGTTGAATAGTTCAACACACACACTAAACACCAGCACGATATCAACTTTTCTTTTTTAAATAAAAATATAAAACCAACTTTTTCCTGCAACCTAGATATAAAATCAATTTATCATGCAAAAGAGGAAGGTCTTGAGTCCAAAAAAGATTTTCACATATACAAACTGAGATGTCGTGTCTAAGACAGATGAAATTCATCAACAAAGGAAC